ATGTAATCAAATATGTCGGTGCTAGATATGGCAAGAAATGTAAACATTTTTTTTCGATTTCTCTGAAACGGAGCAAAAACGAGCATATGTCTATAGGACTTTTTTTCTTAGTTTTTTACTCCTCTACACGCTCCCGAAGTTTTGCCATTTAATTTGGAAACACCCTGTAAATCTTGTTATTATTCTAGAGTACTACATATAATATATATTTATTCATTAATGTATATATACATATATATACATATATGTGTGTTACTATTATAATTAATATTAACTAAAATACAAAACAGCGTCAAACGAAAAATGTAATACATTGAATAATAATTTGAATAATAAAGATAATAGATTAAACTAATTTAAAAATTTTCTAATTAAAAAGTCATATATTTATATATATATATGTGTGTGTAAAAACTTTAAATATAAGTTTCATGCGTTTAATTCCGAGCAGACATTTCTAGTATGCAGTTGTAGATAAGTTTCATAGTATAGTGATAATAACGCAAGAATGCAAATATCGTTATCACACGTACGAGGCATCGGTGCATCACAAGCATTTTGTACATCGTACATGATGTAGGAAATTCGGGTTTTCTGAAATTCATTGTCACACAATTGCGTAATTGTGACGTCGACGAATGTAAGTTATCTTTATGCTATTTCCCGTACCTACAATTAGCTATTTATAATCAACATGCTGCACGAAGGATGCTCACGATAAGACTGACGTCATTGACCGCTTGTCGTTCACTTGGAACTTGCATTAGTCAGCGAACTTACACGTTTCCTTTGTGTAGGAGGTCACCCCGAGGGAATCCATGTAAAATAATGCGAGAGGCTTGTATATGCGAGATATTCTCGTTAAAGAGAGAGAGAGAGAGAGAGAGAGAGAGAGAGAGAGAGAGAGAAACGCGAAACTGAAACTCATGTGAAATACAACATACCGGGTGTCGCGAAACGGTGCTTTAAACTCGAAGTAACTTGCTCATCTTGCGCGGGTTTAAATGCCCCATGAATGAATCCTCGCTCTTTAACGTTGGATAGATAATTTCTTACGACGACGTCGTTAACAATAAAATTTTTCATTTTTTTTTCTCTTTTGACAGGCACATACCAAAAGCCAAAGCTACGACGATGGCAGAGACACCGGAGCTGAAGCGTATCGCGGAGAACACGAAGATACAGAGTAACGTTAAGTATCATGCAGAATTTGAAAAGGCGAAGGGGAAGTTTACGCAAGTGGCGGACGATCCGGAGACTCTCAGAATTAAGCAGAATAGCAAGATCATCTCGAATGTCGCTTATCACGGCGAGCTTGAGAAGAAGGCGATCATGGAGCAAAAGAGGACAATGACCGGAGAAAACGGCGAGCAAATAGGTAGGTGGTGAACTCTTTGACTGTGTGTTTGCATATAACGGTTTTTTCTATTATATTATATCTTTTTGGTTTACTCATAATAAAATGTGAAATATAATTATATATTTTTATGATATTATTTCGTTGCTGTATCGTTTTAAATTGTAACAATAAGCGTGTAAAACTTTATTGCCAAACTAAAAATTTTAGCATTGTTCGTTTTGTCTCTTGGGAGCTGCTCGGGGTCGCTCCGAACGAATCCAGCGTACTTGAAATGCAGGATTCACACTACGTACAACATCCGTCATACCACGTCCGATATTAATTGTAACAATGAATATCGGATGATGTATGACGGATGTTGTACGTAGTGTGAATCCTACATTTCAAATACGCTGGATTCGTTCGGAACGATCCCGAGCAGCTCCCGAGAGACAAAACGAACAATACTATTATAAGTTTGTTACAATAAAATTTGTTCAATGACTTTTAACAGACTAACAATGGAAAAATGCTATTGACGTAATTTGTGATTTGATTGAATTATTGGGGCTAATCTAAATATAAATTTGTAAATTGGGAATTCTTTTTTATTTATGTGTATATCAATGTGTTTTATAACAATTATAATTTATACAATTTTTTAAATAAGTTATCTAATGTTTTGTCTTAAATCACCCTCTGTTAATAATTATACATATATATCTATGATTTTAATCTTAATAATAGTATAATTACATGTTTAATTTTTAACATCTCAACTGTTAATTAACGACGATTTACATAACAGTATCTATGTAATCATCAAATTACAGATTATACATTATGTATGTATCAGTATTCGTGAATTTGTTGTGTACTATTTGTTCGCATTTCATGTAAAAAATTGTGAATTAAAAATAACATAATCATGAATACATACGTATTGCTGCAATCAATCCACCAAAACGACGGCGTAAAATTCAGACAAAATTCAAATCTTTACTGCATTATTTTTTCCATATTCATGATTCATTACACACTCATGATACCGTTCATGGTGGGCAGATCGCAGGATGCTTCTATTGAACGTATCGCTAGCCTTTTTCGTGCATTGTTGATATAGAGTACGTAGAGTACACAGACGGTACGATCGCACCTGCGTCGAGCATAAACGCCAATCCGCCGCCTACAAGGACGGCGAATTCGCCGGTACAGAGGACACCAGGTAGGATCGCCGATTACGATCCCCTTAGCGAAACGAGGCCGAGTCCCTATTCCGCAAGGCAAGCTGCTACCACAGTCATTTATACGAGCGACAAGGGACCAGGTGCGTTTACCTTCGCGGCTACAATCGTTGCAGCAACCTTTCGTTACGTAGAGAGAGACGTCGCATGACTATATTATTATAATATAGAATAATTTGAGTAACTTGTAGAAAGATTATATAATATTATAACATTAACATTATTATTATTATTATTATTATATGGATTGTGAGATGCATATTTAATACGCAACATTATTTTTGGTATCTGAATTTTAATGCGATTAATGTTTACGATCGGTTCGATACTTGAGGTTTGTATTATTTACGCAAATGATTATACATTCATAGTTATATCAGAAGTCTGTATTGCTGTATCTCCTACGAATCTTAATTATTAAGATTCGTAGGAGATGAACGAAGAAGAAAGAATTTTAATAATGTATATTTTTTATTGCGATGTTTTTTATCCGAGGTCGCATTTTACGATCGCGTGGGATAGAATTCGCGTCCATGTGTTAGATTTCAATAGATCGTGCTTTAATCGAATTGTTGTTTAGGAAGATAATTTAGGAAGACAAACGCTTAGCTATTCCTATTGTAACGCCAGACTTATATTACGATCGTGAAGTCGCCTAAAGTATTATTGTCGCTCGTCAGACTTAAACGCTCGCATCATTATGCTTTTATATCGTCGTCACATACGATTCATCACAAAGACAAATCGTCGAAGCAATTTGCACCGGAATTAATCGTTGCGACATCACCGTGTGCACCTTGTTGGGAAAATAGAAAGTGTAATCGTCTTTGTTTAATGTTCCTCATTCTGCGGTTCCGTGTTCACTCTTTACTGAACCCACGGAATAATTCATGTGACAGATCACAGGATCGCACCAAGTAACAATTGTTACTAACTGGAGAATAAAAGAGTGTTTATTACAGAACAAGTTATGCATTTATAATAGTGTATACAAATGTAGAAAGTTGTAAGTTATACGTCGCTCATAAAAGTTCGATGTGTTTGCAGTGACGAATCCACCGACACGAAAAATCGGCTCGGTTGCTGACATCGATCCAGTAAATGAATATTACGGATCGTTAACGCCGGCTACAACGATAAACAATAATCAACATCAACATCAACCTCAACATCAATCACCGCCACCGCCCTCCAACGTCGGAGTAAATATCTTTTTTATTGCTTATTGTCGCATTGTGTTGTCTCTTATGACTTATTTGCAATATAAACTTATGTATCTGCTAATCTAAGAAAGATTTCATGGATAGAGTTTACAATCTTACAGATTACACTTCTTAAATGAGCTTTTCAAATTATTGGGACAAAAAGCATAAGTAAAAAATAATGTGTATAGTATGTTAAATAGATATACGTAGTTTTACATGTTTTTTTTCTATAAATGTGTTTTTTTGCAGAGAGTGTACAGAGCAATGTATGACTACGAAGCGCAAGATCTCGACGAGGTGAGCTTCTGCGATGGTGATCTAATTGTCAACTGCACAGCTGTTGATGAGGGTTGGATGACTGGATTGGTGCAGCGTACGGGACGACACGGCATGCTACCCGCTAATTATGTCGAACCGGCGCAGATTTAAATGTTCTTTCATGTCGAGCTTCCATTTGCTAACTGTTGCCGCCACTTCGATCAGAGCGCTTAATTAAGGCGCGCTTTGCCGAAGAAAGAGACGAAAAAAAATTACGTGATACAATACTCGAAATAGCGCTTCTACTCAGCTCTTATTATTCGGCTGAAATAAAGTTTGATCGAAACGGCGCACTGTCATCTTAGAAAATCAGATAATTAGATATTTTAACTACTAAAGACTTTTATTAAGAATCTTGATATTTTGATATAAATTTGAAATTTTATCTTAATATCAATTGATTGATCATCATGACATATATTTGGATAAAATATTCCAAAATATGTTGATAAAAGAAATAGAATATCAAAATTAATTTTATAAATACTCAGAGACATATTTCATGAGTATCCAAGTTGAGTATTCTCGGCTTCTAGATGACAATATATAGCTTCATATGTTAGAATTCCATGATGGGACCAAACACACACTGCGATAAATTGTGTCGATTACAATTAAAATTCTGACAGCTTGTGAAGCGACATAAGCCTTGACCAACAATTAAAACGAATTAAGTATAAGATATATCTTCCATGAATGCAGTTTTCTGTAAAGCGTCATTTACTTTTCTTTTTGCTATCACGTACAGTTATTATTATTATTATTATTATTCCTCCGTTTTGATGTCTTTTTAGAGTTTACATTACAATTAGAATATAAATATCAAGAAAAAATAATTTGGTTTAATTAACGATTCTTTACGAGCCCTTTTTTTAATAATTATTATTTTTATTGACGAAAATTTTATGTTATTTGTTATTCAATATAAACTACTAACACATTAGTGTCAACAGATTTTTATATTTCGAACATTTGCATTACTATTCTTAATATTATGTATTGTATTATTCTATATTCTTGTCTTTGTAATAATATACCTTTTCAATTTCTTTTCGGAGATGTTTACAAAATAGTATTTTAGTCATGATATCTAAATTTTTTTCTAGTAATGAAACGTAGGGCAAAATCTTCCCTTATATTCGAAAAGAAATAATGCAATGTGCCTTATATGTATAGACTGCTAATTAGTTCCGGTATGGACTTGTTATCATAATGTAAAGTGCATGAAAAAGTGCATCGATATAAGATATTTAAAGAAATACCAACAAATTTTTACTTGCCGCATTAATATGCTTGATTTGACGAAAAAATAATTGATACAAAATTGCCTTTTCTCCTAAAGATAAAGCAATTAAATTAAAATAATGAGGAAGATAATATTATTGACGCGAAAGATGCTGACACTTGCCTCCCTTTTTAATAAAATATGAAAATTATCGTTATGTACCGTTACTGATTTTTAATTAACGATATTAATATAAATTAATTAACCAATATTTTATTTCATAGTGCTTAAGTTTTATTTCGTATGGTCCACACATATATATATATATATATATGCTTCACCAATTCTCTCCAAAATTGCATTTACGTTGTTGATGTAAGTTATTTTATTATTCGGCGATTCTGAGGTTACACGAATAATACGAAAATTTTTGATAAAAAATTATTTGATATTTAGTTTATTTTAATGTCAAACTCTTTTTGTGAAATTCATATTTCAAAAACGCAGTATTATTCGTGTTGGCTAACATGACTATTAAATCTTCTAAAATAGATTTATCTCCTTTGGCTCATTGTTTGTTAACATTTAGTAATAAATTAAATTGATCGTTGATAGAATGTAATGTTTACTACCACGAAGTGCTTTTTAGTGTCTTGTTATTACATTTTTAAATTATAAATGTCAAACTGGTTCCTCTGAAATGTATGTACATCCTATTTACCTGAATAGACAGATTATATTATGGAACGATGTCCGATGGAACTGTACAGATTAATGAACCATGTAAAAGTTATATAAGTATTATCTGTGGGTTACACGTGATGTCGTTCGACTTCCTTTATGAACGAAGAGAATGGATATTTTTGGAAACATGTTACTCACTCTTGTAATTATTAGATGGCTGATAAGAGGATTTCATATTTTAATTGCAAGATACAGAAATATATGTTAGCGTTGTGTTTAGACAAATATTATATTATCATAGCAAATCATAAATAATGAATATGTATGTTATGTAAATCTGTGGTTCATTATTGGTAATTGCACTTTCTTTAATCGATGAAATTCCTTTTTTCATTTTGAAAAATTCCTAGTTTTCATTCTTAAAGAACAGAGACATATGTATCATTTTTTTTTTACCATAGTCTGTATAATTTATTTTTATTCGCATATACTCAATTTAGCCATAAACTTGATATTCACAAAAAAGGAATCCTTCCGTTTACATGTAATGTGTATTGTTTCGTTAAGTTAAACATTATGTTGTTTCTTCAGAATTTAACAAACGATTGTTTTTGTATTTTTTTTTCTAATATGATATATTTATATTTTGCTTTAGATATTAAAAGAGCATTTATATATATATCTTAACATGATTATGTGATAAGTTTTAATATCACGATAATAGTGGAGAATTTAATATTATTTGAAGAAATACTGCAAATTTCATGGACGCCAGTAGTATTATCGCAAAACAAATATTCAGTCATGTAACAGATACTCGTGAATTGAATTAATTGTGAAATAAAATATTTTAAAACGTTATAGTAAAATAAACATTAACATGACGTAATTTCAAAATCGAGTAAAACATTTTAGTATGCAGAGATATAAAATATGCATATTTATTGAAAGTAATATAAATACAATAAAATGATAATTATCACATAAGATAGTCAAGATCGGCTGCATCGAGTGCATGTTTGAAAGTCTCTGAGCTTGGTCCATCACAAGATTCATCGTCAATCCCGATAACTTGCATGATCACATTTGATCGTCAAACCGTTGAATTAAGATTTGGAAAAGATTAAAGACTAAGATATACAATTTTCAGCATTAAGATATGTTGCCGAAAGCCGTAGATGTATCAAACTTGATCGACTTCGCAATTCGATCATTTCAAGCGTACATTTTTATTTGTAATATTGTTCTATCATTTCTTTCGCATCATAATCCAGCCCAGATCGCTTTGCAAACCTTTCTAATATATCATAGAAGCAATTTTATATGCTATAATGAACACTATATCTCATTTCGTTAAAATGAGATATTTCAGCAAGTCAATCGGTAATTCATCAATATTTTGACACAATACTGCACGATACAACATAGAAGCATGAAAATGGATAATATATGGTATTTCTTAATATATAATGGAAAGAAACTTAAGCGTTAGCCTGACTAATTAGACCGCACTGTCTAACCGTACGGTGGAATGTGCAAATATAAAAAAGATCATGGTTAATGATGAATGTTAGCGCTGCTTCTTAAACGAAAGAAATGTTATAAGCAGGAAATTTGTCGTTTGTATGATGTTTGATGTTAATCACTCCAACATTATTAGTTCTCTTAGTTATCTTCATCTTTTTAAGCCCGTTGGTAGATATAAATTGTAATTATGTCAAGAATTTACAGAGTTCATTTTAATTTCCTGCTTATATAGAAGTGCCTTGAACACAGTTGTCGCAAGAATTAGGATGTATTTAAGGCCATATGGACTTGAATTCGAATGAGCACAATCTAACTTTCAAGCGAATGAATGCCGTTTTTGGCCCATACTTTTTTTTGTTAATGAATCAATGCGACTTTTAGTATCCTGTATAAATTGTGCGATTGAGCTAGCAAGATGAAAATAATTTATCCTGCAAGAAGTTTCTTAGCAACCAATGCCGTTACAGAAGCTATGCGAATTATAAGGGATAATACAATCTCAATGGAAATAATGAAATTTATTGGACGTGAGGGATAAGATAAGACACCTTGCTGTGCAGGGATACAAGCACAGGTAACAGAACCAATGTTGCAATAAATCATCGCCATCATTGAACGGGAATTTCGTGCCAGGTATTGGAAGAGTACGTATATATTTTTGCTTCCAAAATATCTTCAGAAGCACAAATTTTTTTTATACGATCTTACCGCCGTTCAAAAAGGTTTCCTTCCCGATTTGTATGTAAAACTTTACAAAAGACGCTGGACGAGCCTGTTACAAACATAGATTTCGATCGAGTCGAAAGAATGTAGAACGCGTGACGGTGTCTTCAGCGAAAAATTCGACTTAACATTAAGTTTAAGTCACGCGCGGTTAACGCTAAATGTCAGCGATCTCATCCTTCTCGTCCTCGACTTTCCTCTAGCGAGTACATGTAGAATGCTAATGTAATCGGACGAGACGACGTGTGGTGAAGGGTCCGCGTGCTGGCAGTGTCGTTTTGTCGTAGCATGAACGAATCATTTCTTTTTTTTCTCGCTCTTTTTCTTTCCCCCGCATGTAACACCCCCGGTTGTACGTATTTTAGCCTGCCTGCTAATATCCGGCGAGGTCGGCGAACGTCTGATCCATCTCGTCGGCGATCGCTTTGTATTTACAGCGCTCATTTACCAGTACGTCTGCAACGAAAAGGGAGGGAAACGTGGTATTAGTGGACGGTATGATGGTTAATCGGGTGTACATTTTAATATTCTTTTTAATTGGAAAGAGAGAGAGAGAGAGAGAGAGAGAGAGAGAGAGAGAGAGAGAACATAACGAGTACATAATCTTCATGGTTAATGCTTTGGGATTAGACGATCATTACACCTGTGAAGCAGCTTAAAGTGAGAGTAGGATGAAGGAAAATTAGTTGGATTGATCTAAAACCTGAGAAATTCATTTTAGAAGATAAAATGGATTAGTCTTTATATAAATAAGATCAAAGTCTATATATGGATAAATATGTATGGAAATATATTTTATGAAAATAAATATCTCGTAGCCGATTTTAACTCATTAAGGAACAGAGTATGTTTCAAATGTGAAAGAAAAAAGCACATTAGATCATATATGGTGTTTTATTTGTTCTATTTTTTGAGAGAAAAGTATTAGAAACAAAAGTGGCCTTGTACAATTTTGCGACAATTTTAAATCGCGAACTATTTATAAAAGATCATCAAGATACTTTTACAATTCAATATTTTATTAATAATACAATACATCGAGTGTTTACTGTACTTTTCTTTTTTGTTCTACTTACCGCACGCTCAATTACCGAAGCATAATGCAATTAGAATTTTGCACTTGTAATTTTAATCTAAGCGGCGTTTTCGAAATAAATAATTAAATAAATAATCGCGGCTCACATAGAGCGGCTATATATACGGACGAAAGCTGGAGAAGTGGAATCGTTGATAAATAAAAAAAAAGAATATTCCGAACGCGGAACGTATTTATAGTACACTGATTTTTATTACGAAAGTATATGCGTCGAATGGCCGTGACCCGACTGCGATCGAACTGTGCGTATAATATTGATAATTACGGCCAAATAATTCGATAGTGGACGCGGATATTTGACAGCCAGATTTAACCAACCAATTCAGTGAAAGTGAGGTCCAGGTCGTCGCAGATGTATTTGTACTTCTCCTTCTCGTGGACGAGCTCGTCTGCAAGAAAACGTAATGTCGTTAGAACGTATTCACACAGTTACTGAATATTCATCAGTTGTACTTTGATATGTTCAGTGATGAATTAGGGGCATTGATAATTTGCATGAACTTTGATACAAGATAAAACTGAAAAGATGTAGGCATCGCATGAACCTTC